GCGCTGGAAACAGACACTGCAGTAGTGTCAACTGGACCACGGACCACGGAAACAATCACAACAACTGAGTCGCACGGATCATGGTGCTGAATGACACAGCGACATGCGTCAACTGTTCAAGACACAACAATGAAGTGGCCCAAATCCGTAACCAAGCGAGACAGTTTAACAAATTAGAAATTATAATAGGGCTTACTGAATAATCAGTTATCTTTTCCTTACTTTAAAGTTTAGTTCACCATGAATTTAAATGAGTCATAGTCATCTGTATACAAAGGTCTATGAAGTGTATTGCGAACAAAGTCGACCCCAGAGCCGTTTCCATTGTTATCGCCTTAGTGCAGTCCGCAGTCGCAGTGGGGCACTCACAGATAGTGTGGACGTTCATACATGTCCTGTCGGCTACGCATCCCTCGCACGTATTCAGCTGGGCACAGCGACTCTTGAAGCTGTCGCCCGCACAGCCCCACTTCCTGTAGCTGAAACAGGCGGCGCGCCGGTGAAACAGAAGTGCAGCTTAGCGAGGCACATTTGTGGCAATGGAGAGTAATATATGTCAGAAAGGGGATTGTCGAAAACTGAAGATTAGAGAAGACGGTGTACATGAACATTGTAGAAGTAACAGCAGTTAAAAAAGAGCTGAGACACATCCATTTATGCTATGTTCCGCTACTTTCCACTACTAGATATTTGCATATTATTCTCGACAAATACCATAAAAAATTATACGCACGAAAGGCAATGCCACAAAACAAGGTTCCATAAAAGAGGCTGAACTCATCCAAAACAGACTTCTGGCGTTTTCAGTGCCCAAGCTACGCAGAGTACAACGCCCTCACCCTCCATTATCAGTCACGTACGTGATTTGTACGGCGAAGCCGAGCTGCTTGGTTCGACAGCGCGTCTCACACTCTACCAGTGTGGTGACACCGACCAGGGGCTGGAGCAACTCTCCGGGGTCCAGGCGGCAGCAGAAGCCCTTCCCTGGCAGCGACACCGGGTACAGACGGTCAGAGGAACGGCTGGAGTTAGCCTGATTTTTGATACAACAGCGAGACTATGTGAAACCTACGGGTACAGCAGTCACAGTATTGATACGGGCACCGACTGTAGATTACTCGAAATTTAGCGACATACTACAATCCAGCAAACATTTCTTCACGCAGGTCCAACAAATAATGCAGAGGGTGAAACAGACTCGGCAGTCAGGAAACCGGTAGCGAGAGTAGGTATTCAAATGCATTAGCTCTCGCTTGCTGCAATCGATCACAGGGAGTGCGTGCGAGCAATTGATGCGAGCGAGATCTTGTGCATTTGTATAGGGCTTGCATGCGATTAGCTGACTACCGAAAGAGTCCGTTTCAGCCATAACAAGTAGCGCACAAACTATTCCGATGTCTGCAAAACTCACCGGCCTCGGAGGCGGTGCCGGAGCCGGCGGCGAACACGCTCATTGACGGCCGGGTGTTGGCGGCCGGCGCCGGCCGAGCGCTGGGGGTAGGCCCCCCACCTGCGGCCGCGAGCAGACGTAACATGCGGAGACCTGTACCCACCACACGGGAGTCGGATCACTGGCGACGGCCCGTGAGAGAGCGGGAGGGGGGGGGGGGCGCAAGGGGCAGAAACGAAACATGACGAAACACAAGAACGAAACAGACGTTCTTGTGAACGTCTGCGAGTGACACAGCACAATTTTGTGAAAATGAATGCATAACAACAAATCAGCGTAAGATATCATCAGCATGCAGTTTTAGCACACACAATGCTTACCGGACCCAGTCCTCAAAATGGCGTCGCCTGGCAAGTGAAATACGACTGATCAGTATGTGTTATGGTTAATTGGACTGGGATACCACCAAACTAGCGGTGAAGTGGGAGCAAAAAATTAATAATCACTTTGCGCATTTGTCGCTAAGATAGTTCGACACATAAGAATTGAGCGTGCAACAAGATAGCACTTTTGTAAGGTTACTTCTTAATCTTATGCATATGCCAACATGAATACAACAAAACAAATAGAGTATGACGAGCACACTGGAAAGGATGACACCGCCATTTTTACAGCTACAAACGCCATGACAGCTAAGCGTTGACTACGTAAAGACTGATCTATCAAAACCAACACCAATTGCTAGTCCCACAGCCTTATGCAGTTCAGATGGGACAGTTCATCTCACCTAAGCTGGAAAGGCTGCTGGAGCTGATGTCGACACTCCTGAACCTGTTGTCCTGCTTTTCCGTCGATGAAACGTTGAGCCGATTGCGCAGAGCCTCGGTAACATTGGTACGGATTGTTTCGCCGTCTGGGAGCGTAAGTGATGCGTCAAAACACTTGCGGCGTGAAGTGTCACTTGCCACCACTGGTCCTTTGTATTTTTTTTTTGTCAATACAAATGGTTTATGAATATTAGCTATCAGATATTACGCCACTTTTACATGCATCCAAAAGCAATGAGCGCATCCTACTATACATAAATTCCCTATTATATAATTAGTTCCGCACTTGGAATAGCTTCGGTCCCAGTTGGGCAGCGTCCTCTGTTTACATTTTTGCGTCAACTTGGTGATAAATGAAACTTGCTTTTGGCCAGGTCATGCTCTTTTCAAAACCTGAACTGACTATGACAAACATGTAAAGGGCAAAGGCATTTCTAGGTAAGCACATTTCATGCGTAGTTAAAGTAACATCTGCCTATGCAGGGGCATAGGCAATCCTTCGGCATACGCATCCTTCCTTCCACGCAGCCGCTTCCTCACACCCCTGACTCGTCCACTCCTGACTCCTGACTCTGTCGTCCCGGGTGACTCACCGCGGCCCTTTCTCAGCTCGCTGGAGTTCCTAGCACCGGTCGTGTCGGTCACGGAGCTGGAGTCAGTGCTGGTGCGACGCCTCACATCCTTCTCGACGATGAACGGCTTGGCTGCCGGGCGGCGGTAGGTCGGTAGGTCACCATATCGGACAAAGGATAGCGCTCAGTGTAAATTGTGGAGGAGGTTGAGAGGTCTGAGGTCACCGTATCGATCGGAGCACAGCAGAGACGTTATCATTGCGCGCCTTAATCCCCATATTCCGTAGAAACCATACCCTATAGAGAAGTCCTCTGCAGTTTCACCCGTCTGGGCTCGAAGAGAAGTGCTCACTGAAGAAGGCAAATTCCCCAAGAGACGCGCTTGTCTCGGACACCCTCTTAGTTGATAGACGCTCTCACCCGACCCACCCGAAAGTCCTCTCCCTGAAATGTGCGCTCATCCGAGAAATGACCGTGTCTCACCTGTGTCGAAGCGCAGGAAGCAGCTCTTGGAGTTGAGGCAGCTCGCGGTGCAGGCTGAGGAAGCTCTCTGCAGACAGGCCGGCTGAGAGATGGACGCACAGCCGAACGAGCCGGTGCCGCCGCTACCCGGGACCCCGAGCCTGCCGGAACACACGGCGTACCATGAGTCAATAAAGCGAGGCTTCCTAAACTAGTCAGCACACCCGGTACCGCAAAACGTAACGTCATGAAGGCGTATATCACCGACGCTGCTCTTCACTTTTTGGTACCGATATAAGTCAAAATGCTGTTTCAACATAGCGACGGTCGTCTGATGCTTCTTATTATATCGGAAAAGCAAACCCTTAATCGCTAACACTAATCGCTACACTTTCCCGAACACTGACTAGTGATAATCATATACGACGATTCCCTACCCCGTGTAGATGGTGAACGGCCAGCGCGTCCCCTCCTGCGAGCAGATCCTCTGGGCGCTGGAGAAGGTGGCGACGCCCGGACGGAGGAGGGTGCGCGGCACAGCACCGGCCAGCTCGCAGCACACACCGCCCGAGGGCAGCTCCGGCAGCGAGGGGACGCTGGCGGCACAGTCTGTAACCAGGCCGGCCGTCACTACTCAGTCATTTGCGGCGCTTCAACTTTACTCTGATACACGACAGTCAGTTTATCGTAATGTGATATAGGGCGGTGGCTCTTCACTCAGACGCATGTGTGTGTCTCAGTGAATGCCGTGCGCTGAACACACTGCATATGCACTCTATCCATGCGCCGGTTACGCTATGTATTATATAAGTTAACCCGAAACATGCTGTGGGAACAAAAGGTGGTTATGAAACGTCATCAACAGATTGACTCAACAAAATCACCCAAAAATACCAGTGATGACGCTTGCGTACGGGCGAAGCTCTTCAGTGGCAAAACCAAACATAGCTCAGGCATTTGGCTGTTAGGCAGCGAGAAACGTTCCACGCTGGACAATACAATAGATAGCATAACGTCGCAATAGCTGATAAATAACTTGGCGTTTAGTTTAGAGATGCTAATCTATGGAAACGCAATACACAAAGAAGTAGTGGAACATATGCACCTAGGACCTAGGACCATGATGGACCTAGGACCTAGGACCTGCGCCCTAGGTCGACAGCTTGGTCAAATATTGCGCGCAGTAGGGGGCCTGACAGGGCCAGCAGACTCAGACCCGGCAGAAACGCACTGCTGAAGGCAGAGTTGAGCATGAGGCCCAAAGCTCTGTGTCGAGTACTCAGCACCGTACCAGAGCTGCTGACTTACCATGGCCGCCCGGTGAGTCTCCCCCCGCCCCCCCCCCCCCCCACTGTCACTCCGCGCCCCCCACCGCCCTGACCTGACCTGCCGGCGGGCACGGCCGGCGTGTGACTGACCTGGCGTCAGGACGGCTGCCAGCAGCAGGACAGTCGCCGCAGCGTTCCCCCGCGGCGCCATGGTCTCCGGCGACTGGGCTGGCGGCGCCGCCGGCCGCTGCCGTCACCGCCCCCGCGCCGTGCTGACCTTTGGGCCGGCAGCAGCGTGGGACAGCCAGCAGCGGCGGAGGACGGGGACGGACGGCCGCGAGTAACACACAGGCCAGGCGGGCAAAGATACGAACGGGATCGTGCAAAGTCGATCCACTGCCTGGTTACGGCCGTGACAAACAGCCAGCTTAGCCAAGTCAACAACCCACCATGTAGCGTCATCTCCTTCACAACTGCAAAATCTGTTACAAAAGAAGATGTATTTCTCGACCACAGCTCGCTGGCGTTGTGCGGCTCCGGCTCGGCGTCCCGCTCGGTCAGCGCTGCCACCGGGGTGTTGCAGCGGCTACCGGAGGTGCGGCCCGCCTGTCAGCCAGCCGTCAGAGCCGGGGCCGCGGCCGACAGCGACTGACAGCACACGGGTCACGCGTCACAGGCCGGGAATCTCTGCAGCGCCAGCCGCCGCTGTCACACACCACAGCGAGCAGAGCGGACAGAACTAAAATGACAGTCCACAGCGGGACAGAGACAACGTCACTACTGGGTTAAACACAGCGCGGGCAGTTTACGCGTACAATCCGGGTCGCTACGAACTCACATCTAGACCGCTAACCACCTTGATATCAACACGGGGCCATTGAATTCAGCCGGCAGCTCAGCTTCATCCGCACCACGCGTCTAGATCAGTCCATATTTACAAACGGGTCCTCTGAGCCCTCTCCCGCACAACTGATGCCCTCTGTAGTACCACAGCCCAGTGCCTCCTACACAGAATGCAAGTCGTGCCTTCGTGCCTCCCCAGCTGACCGTCCCACCGCTATCGGCTCAGCTGAGCTCACGGCGCCGAGCTGTTCTTCAGCAGATGCTTATTTCGCTCCAGCATCTCCTTCTTCTTGTCGGCCATTCCCTTGGCGATGAACTTCTCCGTGTCCTCCAGAGTTTCGCCTTTCGGCGCAGAATCCTCGTTCGCATCCGAGTTTCCCCACTTTCCTGCCATCAGTTTTTCCACTTCCTCCGGCTTCATCTTAGCGGTGAGGTCTTCCTCGATTTTCTCTTTGGCCTCCTTGAGGCGGGCGAACATCTCGGCCGTGGCTGTCTCACCCTCTCGCAGCCGTCCCGGCGGACTGCGCCTCACAAAGTGAAACCGATCGTCACGACGGTGGTCACGGTGATGGTCGCGGAACCCGCCACGGAACCCACCGCGGAACCCGCCACGTCCGCCGCGGAAGTCGGGTCTGAACCCTCCGCGGCCCCTGCCGCGGAACATTCCGGGCACGTTGGCAAAGTTCGAGTACCGGCCGGGCACATAGTTGCCGGCCGTGCGGAACGTGGCGTCGTGGTAGCGATACGGCGAGCGCGACCGTGACCGACTGTACGAGCGGTGTCGGCTGCGGGAGCGGGAGTAGCGACGGCGACGGCTGCGGCTGCGCGAGCGACTGTAAGAGCGGCGACGGCGCCGGCTGCTGCGGCTACGGCTGCGGCTCCGCGACCGCGATCGCGAGCGACGCCCACGCGAACGAGATCGCGACCGAGACCGAGACCGAGATAGCGACCGAGACCGCGTGTAGGACCGAGACCGGGAGCGAGACTTGGAGTGGCGGCGTCCTCGGCCCGGCGATTCGCCCGGTCGGGAAGCAGCAGCAGCGCCGGGCGTCTTGGAGGTGCCGGCTGCCGCTGCAGCCGCAGCCACCGCCGCTCTCGCCGCCGCCTTCGCCACGTCCATTTTGGATATGGGCGTCTTCGTGCTAGGGGGCTGCAATGGGGAGTCTGAGGGTGGAAGCTCGGTGCCGGGCGGTAGGGGCTCCGGTGATGGGCCCTTCTTTTTGGCTCCCATCAGGTTGATCTTGAGGTCGGGTCTCTTGCCGACGGTGAATCCTTTCAGCTTGGCCTTTGCTTCGGTGGCGCGACCGGGTGCCTGGTACTCCTCAAAGATTGCCTTCATCTTGGAGACGCTGTCGTCTTGTTCGTCAAACTCCGTCTTGACGATACGCACGGAGCCGTCCTTTCGCTTCTTCACCTCTACATTCTCGTCACCCCTGAAACACGAAAACACACTCGTCAGATCTCCCTGAACCAACGGCTGCAAACAAAAAGCGTAAGAGGCGAAAAGAGATTTTTCAACCGAAACCGTGACATCAGTCATGATTCGCGATCGAACCCTGTCGCAAATTACCGTCGCTATTTGATCCCACTGGATCCCATCAAAGCCCGAACGATCCCACATCATTATGCCGCAGGCTGGTCAAATGACCCGTCGTGTCTCCCCCCTCCCCCTCGGTCTGTAAGCCACCCGATCCTGAGTAGCCCTGCTCACCAGCCGCCGCGCTTCCATTTGCCGTCCGTCTCTGATGAGGCGGCGTCCGCCTCCATCCTGACGACTCGCTCCGAAGAGTGTCGGTCCGCCGAGCCGTCCCTGCCCGACCTGCCGGCACGCAACAGACACGCTCAGACCGGTGCATACAACAGGCGGCGGCGGCATACTACTATACAGGGACACAGGAACTGTCATGGTCACATTAGGAGCAGACATACGGGCTGAAGGCAAAGTCACAAAAGGGCCGAGCACCAGATATTGAGGTCACATCCGCACCAGAGGCGTCTAGTTGAGATAGCAGTGTCTCAGCACCGGCCGCTCACCTGTGCGGCTCCGGCGAGTGGTCACTGCTGCTGGACGAACTGCGACTCCGGCCCTTCTTCTCCTTTCCCTTGTCTTTCTTCTTTTTCTTCTTCTTCTTCTCCTGCTTCTCCTTGAGCTTTTGCACCTGTTTACGTAGTAGCTCCAGCTCGGCCAGGTATTTTGAGTCGGGGGCCGGATTATCTTTATCTTCCGTCTTTCCATCTCTATCGTCTGTCGGCCTGGCGAAAGCGAGTTCCAAAACAGGGTAAATACAGAGGCCAGGTTACAAAACAAGACAGAAGCATCAGAAAAGACGCTGCAGCCTCTCCTATTTTATACAGCACCTTTTATATGGTACCGAAGGAACAAATAACAAACAGAAAAAGAGGGAAGAAGTCAAGGTCAGACAGAGACGCTTAGACAAACGCACAATTTACTTTTACAAGGAACTAACACAAAAACTAAAACAGACAGGCTCAAGGAACAGGCACAAGGAACAGACACGAAGAATCAGGCACAGACGAACTGACATAAAGAAAACAACAGACATTGTTGTGGTCAGCCAGGAGCGCATCACATGCTCTCACAGTCACTACCATGTCGTGCAAGGAAGCCGACTGGTAAATCCCTTCAGAATGCTGTAGGATGGGAGGTTCGGATTTGATCTACACTACACGGCCGTCCGCACAGGCGGCCGGCCGGCCGGCGGCGGTCTGAGCAGCCGGCTGGTCATTACTTGTGTGTCGGATGATCGAGCGGGCCGCTGGTAGCCTCCTCCGCTGCTGGCGAGCCGGCCTCGGCTTCCTCGTCCCTGGCGAGATGAGACAGCGCCGACTGTACAGCCCGCACCCGCGGCGGCGGACGAACCGAGCCGGCACACCGAACGGCACTGGGACAGCGCACAGACGGGACAGCGCCCACGCAGAACACAGAATGTCCAGACAACAGTCCACAAGAACTATTACTGAGACAGCTATCCAACGGGGTCTGGTACACCACACCGCGGATTGCAGGGGTCGAGAAAGCCGCACTAAAATGATAAAGAAGAGCAGACCAAAAATGCTGGCATCGAACAGAAGAACCACAGACGGGTACAATGGAACTATAGACAGCCATAAGCTAACATATGAAGTCCCGCACAGCTGCACCAGGAAATCACACATGAACCCACACCACAGGACAGAGCTAACAAACTCAAGGACAGTGACCGAGGAGCACAGACACAGGCGCTAAGGCCACCGTGACATCGCCATCACAAGGAAGGAGGCTGGCCATGGAAGGACCGCGCTCAGTGCTCACACAGTGTCTAGGATCCCACGCTGCCGAGACAGGCCACACTTAGCACCCTAAAAAAGTCGACTGTGGACAAAAGCGTGCCAACGAATCCACGCAAGCATCACACAGTATCCATGCAAGCCCAGTCTATGAAGCCAATAGCCGGTTGTTATCTTTGGCTACCTGTCCCAGTAAACCTTACCGGACTAGACTGAGCTGAACAGTGTGCACTTACTCTCTGGTGCGAATACCACGGTCGTAACGCCAACTGTGCGAACGCGATTCGCGCGCAACTCCCAAAAACCCCCACAACACGAGCACACCCAAGCATGCCCCTCCCTGCCACCGTGAACGAACATACCCAATCACACCCCTCCCTCCAAACCGGACAAGCACACTCGAGGAGCACCCCCTACCCTCTCGTCGTCCCCACCCGGGCGTGCAGAGGGTGCCGTGCCGGGCACGGGCCACTCACTGTGTCGGGTCCGAGGGGTCGTAGTCGTCTACGAGAGGCTTCACAGCGTCCTTGATGGCCTCCTTAGCGTCTCCGCCGTACAGGAACTCGTCCTCCTCCGCAGTGCCCGGCGGCAGTGGCTCGGCACTCTCCACCGGCTTGGGATTCTCCGGTGCTTTGGGCTTGACCTCCACTTTGGCCGCTTCGGGCACACTCTCCTTGCTGTCCCAGCGACTCTTTTTCTTCTTTTCTTTGTCTTTCTTCTTGCCGCTGCCCTCTTCCTTGTCCTTGTCTTTCTTCTTATGGCGGTCTTCGTCTTTAGATTTTTTGGGTGTCACCTCGTCTTTATCCTTGGTTGAGTCTGGAGCAAAAGAATCGTGAAATAATTAGGCATTGCGAACCCTTCCTCGCTACTACAGGAATCATTGGTCCAAGACGTCATCTTTGACCTACTCAGCTCGTGATTACGTTATCATGTAACCAAACAAACCCGTTACATCGGACATGACAGATCTGCACACTGAAGGCGCCCGCTCGAGCCAGTCTGAGGAATCTCGAGGAAGGTGAGATGAATGTCGCAAGGACCACGGGGATGGCTCGAGGATTTAAGTGGCGGATATCAGTAATGTCATGAATGCGAGCTCGGAATGTTGATTGGTGGTTCGGAATGTGGAATGTGGTATTAAAACTGACAACAGCCTTTTGCAGTAAGTGTAAGGGAAGCTGACCTGAGAGTAATAATTAAACATATGAAAATGTCTCGGTTGAGTGATCTCACAAATCTATGCATCGAGGAGCCCTGGTGTCCCGATTCACATCACAAGGCTTAACCCGCGCGGGGCTGGGGGGGTAAATTTTACCCCCCCTCGCGAATTTTTGCGATATCTCAAAAACGGCGGCGCGCAGCGCCGCCAAACTTTCAGTACCTTTTCTTACATCAATTTGACACGTTCCCTGAAAACTTGAGCGAAATCCGTCGGAAAATTTTTGAGAAATTGACGTTTTAGTGACGTCATGTTCGCCATTTTCGCCTCAAAAACGGCAAAAGTTCAAACGCCGCTAACATCTTCATTTTTAAAGGAATCAAGACGTAACAAAAAAGGTTATACGTAATTTTACTTTGTCTATCAAATGGCTATCTCGGTTTTTTTTTAAAAATTTTGGATTTTGGCCTAATTTTTTTTTCAAAAAACTAACTTTTTTGGGAAAATCATTATAAAATCCAAAATTTTGAGTCTATTGAAAAAACCGGAATATATGTCAGAGAAGTGGTCTATGTGCACCTACATACCAAATTTTAGAAGAATCGGTTCAAAAATGTGGGAGTTATTCAAAATTTTATGACGTCACGAGACACAAAATTTTTGAAAAATGACTTTTTTGGAAGTTCTAGACCTCGTACGGAAACAAAAATAGCACCATTCGATTCGCCGTGAAAAACTGCATCAGATAGACACCTTTTTAGGCCTTAACAACCAACTTCAAAATTTGACCTCACTTGACCTGACCTTGACCTGACCTCGACCTGAAATTCATCCAGAGGTGGTCCATATCACTTATTGAGTGTGCCTATTGAATTCTATGAGTAAAATGACCCATAAAACATGTGTCGCACATGCCCTTTTCTATATTTTGTTTTTTGGTGACCTGACCTGACCTGACCTGACCTTGACCTTGACCTCTGAATGATATTGTATGCAGCGAATATTGTCTTGGTAGCCTAAGAACACGTTTTGGGCGATCAGTCTCAGTCCATGACTCCATTCTTCGGTAACTACGGTGCAAGGCCGATACTGTAGAAACTTGCAATTTGTACCCTTGACCTGACCTTGACCTTGACCTCAAACTTTAAATTAAGTACATGTTTTTAGTAGTTCGTGATGAGAGCTTTCGATTGGCGTTTGAATTTTCCAAATCGGACCATTAGTTCGGGAGATAACAGGGGGGGGGGGTAAAATTTACCCCCCCCCCCCCCCAGCCCCGCGCGTTCGGCTGGAGACCCCAGCCCCGCGCGGGTTAAGGCTTTCTGAGGTAAGAAAAAAAATTAACTCCGGATTGTAGATTCATGAGTATAAGAACACAACTTTATTGTGCTCACCTTTTCGTTCTCTTTTGTGCTTTCTGTCTCCGTCCTTCTCTTCCTTCGCAGATCTGGAACTCTTTCCCTCTTTATCCTTTTCCTCCTTTGAAGATTTAGAGCTCTTCCCCTCCCTGGAGTCTTTCTTATCTTTAGAGCTTTTGCTTTCTTTATCCTTGCCCGATTTGGAGTCTTTGGAGTCCTTGGAGTCTTTGGCGGCCCTGGTGTCCTTGGAGTCGTCTCGGTCCCTGTCGCGGTCGGACCGGGACCGATTCCGCTCAGCACTGCGGCGTGACTCTCGGCCCGGCCCGTGCGACCTGCGGCAGTGGGCGGGCGACACCCGTCACATATGGATACAGACACACGACAGCGACACTGGCCTCACTCACAGCACTGCACACCCGCTCCGTGCCTAGCGGCTAACTATACAAACGTCCCCAACCCACCCCGTCCACTCCCTCCCATCATACCTGGCCATCCCCGTCCTCTCTATCTGTCCGTAATCTTCTCCCCCGTCCCTCTGCATTTACCTGTCTCTATCAGAGTCCCTCCCTCTCCCTGTCCCTTTCCCTTCCTCCCCGTTACCTCTCAACTACCTCTCTGTCCATCCCTCCCCGTCCCTCCATGACCCCTCACCAGTGTCCCTCTCAGAGTCCCTCCGTCCCTGTCCCTCCGTGACCCCTCACCTGTCCCTCTCAGTCCCTCCCTTCCATCCATCTCCCATCCCTCCGTGACCTCTGAACTAGGTACCTCTCTGTCCCTCCCTTCCTTCGTTCGTTCATTAGGGTTAACGGGCGCGTCGACTGCGGTGGTCATTTTGCGCCCATAACGCTGTACTGGTAAAGCGGATATGTCAACAGAGAACTGACGAACTGAAGAAGACTAGAACTACTTGAGATACGTTATACTAGTAAAACGAGTATATCACAGGAAAACTGATGGATTGAATGTAAGAAAAGATGCTGCCGGATAAAACCCAGGGTGAGTCATCACCCAACAGGTGGCGAATGGTGGTGCCTGGGGCAATGCGGCCGAGGCAGCGTGTCCGGTTTGGTTCGAGGTGCGGGCAACTTAAGAGAATGTGAGTGACTGTGAGCGGCACGTGTCCCTCCCTTCCCATCCCTCCGTGACCCCTCACCTGTCCCTCCCTTCCCGTCCCTCCGTGACCCCTCACCTGTCCCTCTCAGTCCCTCACTTCCCTCCATCTCCCATCCCTCCGTGACCCCTCACCTGTCCCTCTCAGAGTTTCTCCGTGACGCCTCACCTGTCCCTCTCAGAGTCCCTCCTCCAGCCGCGGTCCATGTACGCCTCCAGCGGGTCCCTCTGCTCCCTCTGCTCCCTCTGCTCCCTCTGCTCCCTCTGCTCCCTCTGCTCTCTCTGGTCGCGGAACTCCCGCGACTCTCTGACGTCCCACTGGTCTCTGAACTCGCGGTGTTCGCGGGGCCGGCTCTGCTCCGGCGGCGGCCGGTCCTTGCGCGGTGTGGGACCGCTATCCTTCCTGGTCGGAGCGAGGCCGGCGACATCCGGTCACAGGTGGGACACAGACAGATGGTTGGTCGGGATTGGGAATCACAAAGGTCGGCGAATGATAATAAAAGCGGAAACATGCTCTGGGAAGGCAAATTAGCTAGTCAGGGTGCCAAATGGAAAGCTTCCAGCGCAGAAGGCGCGTCATAAGATAATCATTTGATTAACCGCACCAAGTAAAAAAAAAAAAATCATTTAATACCTACACCGCAAGCTGGATAATATATACAGAAGACCGATTTAGACCGTTTAACAATCCCACAGCTACTCACTCGAGAGAGTCGAGGAAGCGTCGCACTTTTTCCTCGTAAGCGTGGTCCTCGTGCGTCTTCACTGGCGGCGGCGCATTGTAGAAGCCCGGTGCCATCATGGGAGGCGGGACGTGCGGCCCGGACGGCATCGGCGGGTACATCTCTGCCAGTGGACACACAGACTTGGAAGTCAGAAAACGTCTGGCAATATCAGTATGCATAGCATATCGATTATTTTTTAAATCTATTCCTTATTTCATCTTGTACTTTAGCAATAGGGAAAATTTTTATGAAGACTGTGTATGTTTCATGTATTTTTATTGTGCTGTGACTTTGGCCGTAAATGGCATGTCCCGTGGCTGATATGGTGAATAAATGAAATGAAATGAAATGAAATGAAGCTAGTAGGTATGCAGCGGACTGATACAGTCCAGCGAACATCGAAGTATATCAGGTAGCAAGTTTGACGCACGTAACCCCAATAACTAAATTACGCCGGGTGCATCGGGACCAGGTATCACTTGGCATGGGAATACGCACAGAGAGAACCGGCGGCTTTTTTGCCTCCGCAATCCACTCCATCACGCACACAAGCTTCAGTCTCCCGGTGAGGACGTGAGTTCGCGCCCCGCCAGTACCGTGAGTTCGCGCCCCGCCAGTACCGTGAGTTCGCGCCCCACCAGTACCGTGAGTTCGCGCCCCGCCAGTACCGTGAGTTCGCGCTCCGTCAGTACCGTGAGTTCACGGCCCACTCACGGTAGGGATTGGCGCCCAGCGGAGGCGGCGGTCCCCCCGTCGGCGGCGGGTTGTTGAAGGCGTGTACCAGCGGCTCGGATGGCCCGCCCGGAGCCAGCGGCAGCTGACCCTCCTGCATGCGGTGCATCTTCTTGCTGAGAGGCGACAGCGAGCCGCTCTGACGCTTACTCTTGCTGTGGCTGCGGGTGGGGAGTCGTCGAGTCAGACTCGGATACTCGATCAAATCCAATTAGAATCAATATACCAGGGTGAATGGATGACATAATGCCGGCAGGGTCGAGTGGCATAAACTCTTAGTCAGTCAGATAGAGTCAAACAAAACATTCCTGTGAACGAGATAAAACCAAACAGCCTGTTAAACGCCCCATTAACACTTATAGAAAAAGCAAATACACCTCACGGCACAATCAACTGAAATAACGTCAAAATTAGCGTTACTTCAACGTTGATGTTTGTGATCGGAACTGGTGTTAATATCACCAGTCACCAAGCCCTGTGATTGGCTGACACGTCCTAATGTCCATGCCGTATCCCACATTTACTACCGGCTACCTATGTCCGTCTGGCGTGTCCTATGTCCGTCTAGCGTATGCTATGTCCGTTTAGCGTATCCTTTGTCCGTTTAGCGTATCCTTTGTCCGTTTAGCGTATCCTATGTCCGCGCTGCGTGTCCTGTGCCCCACCTGCGTCGTCGTGAGCGCGATCGGCCGCCGGCAGAGTCGCGACTCCCACTGCGGCTGCGGCTTCGACTTCGGCTACGGCTGCTGTCGCTGCTGCCGCTGCTGCTGCTGCTGCTGCCCGACGAGCTGCGGCGGCGGCGCTTCTTCGACCTGAAACAGCGGACGAGTGAACAAAACACACCCGATCAGCATCATCAGCTCGTGCAGCCGCCCCACAGAGTATGACCGCACATGAAGTACAAAACGCACCAGGCAAGGCATCCCGAATGAATTGCTACACTACGGAAATTTATTGTCAAGTTTTCCTTGATTGCCTCACTTTTTCTTTTTCTTGGCCGACGAGCTCCCAGCTTCTTCATCCTCTCCAAGCAGAGCGAGCAGCTTCTTCTTGAGTTCGGATGTCTTCTCGCTGCGCTGCGGTATGGCCAGATCATCCAAACGCAGCAGGTCCTGTCGGCAGCAGAAGCTTTATTATAACACCTAAACTAAAAGGAAAATACAAGGCCAATGCTGAAGCGATTGATTCATCAAACTTGAGCGCGTTACCCGTAGATAGATGTACAGGGTGTCCAGAAAAAAAAACGGATACTATTATTTTTTGCTGTAATTTCGAAATTAAATACCTTACATTTTAAAATGGCACATGCTTGTATACGCAAAAATATGGCAAAACAGACAGCACGTGTCACATGGCATATTAACTCTTTGGTTAGTCACGGCAGCTCCTCAAAGCAGATATTCAATGAGAGCGGCCTTACGGCGGATCAGCTCCAGCACTAGCACGGTCTGCAGGTGACTGTTGGTCATGTTGACCATCTCGGAGGGCAGGCAGACAACTTTCCAACGACGAATTACAGTGCTCATGAGTTTTGCCAAATCTTGCTCTATAAGCACATGAAGTTGGAACGAAATCGGCACGTGCGTTAATGAATGCGACTTAATTTCCGTAGTATCTTTTTTTCTGGACACCCTGTTAGGGTAGCCGCGGATCCACCCAGACGGGGTGCGGCTGAAGGGTCAGGTACCGTGCTAATCTCCACGATCCCGGAGCACAGTGCCCTGGCCAGTCGGGACCAACGGGCCAGTCGGCGCACCAAACAGCGCCAGCCGGTCACCGGCGGCCTACTGTGTCTACCCTGCCCATCCCACCCTACCCCGCGCCACTCACATCCGCCTGAATGTGGCCCACTTTCATCGCCTTGAGAAAGCGGATGGAGCGCAGAGCCTCCTTGTTATCCGGCACGAACGACAGGCTCAGCTTGTACACCTCGAGCGCCTTGTCGTGGTCCTTTTCGTCCTCGTACCTGGCGGACAGGGTCTCAGTGGTAATGCATGCATAACACAAGGCCCCAGAACGCGATGGGGGATGAAAGAAAGGAGCGTATCTTTATACACGAGCTAAGGCATATGACATAATCCAGTGTTGTGTACAGCGAACACATTGAGTCACCCAGTGTGTAGTCACCATGTCATTTTGTGATTAGTTTGAGTGGCACACCTTCAAATACAAACAGCTGATTTCAGGTAAAGAAATCATTCAATGGGCAACACGGACTCATAACACGGACGTTATGAAAATTATTAATACTTACGCCTTTGCCTGGGCGACCAATGTCTCTCCCATGTACTTTTTGGCGTTCTGGTGGTTGGGGTCTTCACCCAATGCTTTTTCGAAGTCGAGAATGGCCTTCTCATAGTTACCTCTGTTGGCAAACCTGTAAGAAACGCACAACACTTCACACATATACATGCAGACGCAGAGGATTGTCGCTAATCCCCTGGCATAAACACAAGCACCATGGACCCCTTTGAAGGTCAACTGATTACAGCTCCAAAGCATTGCATCTCAAACCCGCGTTCAGAGTCTCGGACGACAAAGATTCTACGTCGTCCGGCCAATCTCGTTCAAGGTCAGCTGCGGTAATGGAACGGGGTTGGCCAGACGACGTAGAATCTTTGTCGTCCGAGAGACTCCGAATGCGGGGTAAGATGCAGTGCAAATATGCCATTCACCAAATCGTCTAGCGACATACACTGCCAGTTCGATAGCCCAGAAATAAGAACTACACATTTAATGTGGTGCAATCAAATACCCACACTAGAGCTCTGTTGCAGACGGGTTCGCACACAGTCACCATCAAAAACAGGCTAGCTCGATATGGCACCAACATAAGCTGAGAATATCATTATGACCCGACTCCCATCCCACTAAGTGCGCCGTTGACCGGAGCCTGTGACGCGTCTATCCCACTCACAGCGCTCCGCGGGCCACCAGGCCCTCCACATTGGTCGGGTCCACGTTCAGCGCCTGGTTCAGACACTGGAACGCCTCGCCGTACTCGCCCTTCTTGAACAGGCCGACGCCCTTGGCCACGGAGCGGTAGGCCCAGCGCGAGGCCTGCTCCTTCCGGAGGCCGGCGGCGCTCTCTTCCTGTGGAAAGCCGGCACTGCCCGCCGCCCGAGGGCCACAGCGGTGAGTCGCCAGTCCAGGACACCGTGGCAGCCCACAGGCCAATCCAGACGACACCCGGTGACGTGGCTGTACGCTCAGTGGCAAAAATATCATTACAGGACATAGTACTTTTTATCAAGCTATACTTTACCGAATTTCACTCATTCCAAACAAACTATGAAAAATACACTACAGCAGCTGATGTAACAAGAAAAGACACGATGTTGCCCAACTACAAATCAATTACCACTGATGTTCAATCGCATCGCCAACATGCTGCTTAAATATGTTCAGGGGCGCGACAACGATACAGCCTTATTACAGCAGCTCAGCCGCTGGACCGCTTAGCGCCGCTGCCAACACAGGTGAAACGGTCCATAAGTCTAACTCAGCCCCTACCTCAGGTGGAGCGCCAGCGAGTCTTTGGCCTCGAGCACATGCTGCCGCTCGGCCAGGAAGCGCATGGCGTTCGGGTTGTGGAAGCCGACGGCGGCTAGCAGGTGGTCCTCGTAGGACGTCTGCGGCTCCTGGGAGGCCAGCGACCTCCTGGGGATCAGACAGGGGGCACTATCAGCAGCTGACGGCAACCGGCCACGGCGGTCAGTCGTTCACTGGCCAGTTACCCACTGATCCGTGTTTGCTATCCAAATTCACTATCCAACCCAGTTATCCAACGACCGCAGTGATCCGTTTGCATTTGCGTTTGTTAGTCACACTAATACACACTTGGAAATAGCACATCCAATAGCATATCCACCCGCCTCCTGATCCTGCACCTCACTAGCAGACGGTTGCTTGCCCTCTGCCAGCTGTTCCCCTAAGCAGCCCGTCTGCGCCTGCTCGCCGGCGGCGCGTCCACCCTCCCGTCCCTACCTGCAGCGCACAGACAGCTCGTTGCCCGTCACGTGACCGAGCCGCACGTTGCCGATCAGGTGGGGCGGCAGCTGCGACTCGTCCAGCGTCATGACAATCATGTCGCCCTGCTGCACCTCCCTCACCAGACCCATGCACATCTCGTGCGGCTTCCACATGCGAGAGCCGGCCGGTATGCCGGGCACCACCGCCTGCGGCCCGGTCACAACGGTCACAAACACATAAACACATAAACACAAGATCATACGGGCACCGGTCATAGACTGGTCATAGACACACGGTAACACAGGCACACGGTAACATAGACACACGGTAACACAGACACACGGTAACACAGACACGCGGTCACAGTGACAATCGATCACAGACACATGACAACAGACACAAGGTAACGCAGACACACAGTAACACAGGCACACGGTAACAATGACGACCAGTCGGGGCCTACAGATACGTCACGGCGCCAGACAAAGGTCTCAGAGATCTGCGGTAAGCGCCGTTACAGCATCGGCCAGCGATGCTGACACGTAACGGATAGAGACGCGCTGGTCTTGAAACAAGAGAAACACAGGAAATGAGGAAAGAAATTGAAGAAAATCGAGATTGAGGTATGAAAGGAATAAAAGGGAGGAAAGAAAAAGGAGAAGTAAGGTAGAGAAAGATATGGAGGAATAGTAGAGATAGCAGAGAACGAGGAAAGGAGACGGATAAACACGGGCATAGCAAGTCGACCGATCAAGACCGATCCGCTTCCTGTTTGTAAGTCGTTCGATACTCACCCTGATGTGCTGAGAGTTTCTCGCCATGGGAATACAGCCGCGCGAGACGAGAGTGGCGCAATCGAGCACCAGCGCACCGGTGGGTTTCAGACCGACCACTGTGCAGAGTATGATCTGGCCGGGCCTAAGCACCTGGGGACGCACGCGCGCGGGTCAGACGCACAGACGGACACTCCACGGCCGCGCGTCGCCTGGGTTAGATTGGGCGTTACAGCACGTCTGTGCTTCGAAAGTAGTTTTTGTTCACGATGTGCCAGAGGGGGGGGGGGAATTATAGCACAGAAAGAGGACGAATATGTAAAATAACCGTTCAGGATTCCGTCAAAATCTGGCAAGAAGCACTCAAAATATGGCAAAAAACAGTACATCACATGGCTTAACATGTGCATGCATTAATTACTGCACTGTGCAGGCCGGCCGGGCGACGTACCTTGAGAATCTGTTCTCTCCATTCGGCGCGGTTAAGTCCCAGGAACTCCGGTAAGCATGGAACCCGACCGTACAGCTCTGAGAACGAGGCGGAGACGCTTAGGCGCACTCAGCCGCGAACGACGACCCAGGACAGCCCACAATACATGGTGCCGCCGTTCTGTTCCTTACCACAAGCCTCGACCTCCCCTCACCACACCATGTTACTCCCCTCCCCCTCCCAGCTCGTCCGCTACCCGTGAATTTCCTCAGTCAGCTAGACTTCCAGTGATTAACAACGATCAGAGGATGGCACTTATATCTGCATCAGCAGTACTACTCCGGTGATCACAAATTTGTCACAAATTTGTCTTCATTTTATCTCACAAGTATGAAAAATGCAGAGCATAAGAGCCTTGTCATGAAAAAAAAACAATGCTATCCCTATTGATTGAGCATCGACTTTAAACTATTACAAAACTATTCTCCACAACAAAATACCATGGCACTGGCACTGAAGGTCAATATTACAACATGGAAAGCAAAACTCCCTACAAACGGGATAAGTATTTAATGCCTAAACACAAACAGACCAAAAACCAAGACCGCACGCCTCTGACAAAAAGGTAGTTTTTCATAAAGGAGAGACTACAGGTACCTCTATCCCCCTGACCGCACACCTTCGTCCTCGTTGACAAAGTCGGAGGCCTGCGGTATCTCGTCCTGCGACAGAGGCCGGTACAGCAACTCCGCCTTGTCTGCCATAAAGTTGAGCAGCTTCACACGCTTGCCCCGGTCTTGTACGCTGAAACGAAGACGGTCATCAACTATATTCCAAATACAGCAGCATTCAATGGAAAGAAACCGAGTCACCGCCGCAGCCCAAGTGCACCAGGGCGGCACACGCGAGCTCGGCAAAACAGAAACAGATATCAGAGAGACAGTGAAACCGCTGGGAGAACAACATACTTCGGTGACGAGGCGGTCTTTCTGGTTCAACCTCCGGCCGCGCTCCGTGCCCTGGTGCCTGAAAATAGAGTCCACCCGCCCGTCTCTTCGTGGTACGGAGAGACCCAAGCCCTGAAAGTGTCTCCTCGATCCGTTCAGGCATATTCTGAGGCGTCGATTCCAATACGGTTCGAAATGATGGGTCGCATGCCGAGCTGGCGAGTTTTGTTTTCGTCTTCATCTTTTTTTTTAGACTTTCTCGAGCTTCCAACGTACGTGATCCCGGTTGGCGTCCTCATAAGGCACGCGATGCTTTGAGCTGGCAGTATGAACAACCAATCAAAATTGGAAAAGCGACAAGCACTAATGGATGGAAGAACTTAGTAACTAGTAGGTACACACATAGAATATCATTACTAAATCACTTATCACTATTTTCAACCTTCAATACAGGCGACGGTCAATCTCATTTGCGAAAAATCCATCATAACATCTTTCTTTGCATCTATACAAAGCTGACAAAAAATGCATGTGGTTGATATAGACATGCACTGCGGCACACATACCTGAGCTCTTTCGCTCTTTGCTGATAGACGTGGTAATCCACGTCGCGGATATTGATGCCGCCCAGAAGCTTGAGTTGTTTCTCTTCCATAACTTTGGATAGCTGCTGGCCGTGGAAGTTGATGGCCTTCACGATCATGCTTGGCGTGTCCATGGTGTTCATCTGTTTGGTACACAGAGTCAGTCACCTACCATCCAAAACATTCCAATTTCCAAGGCGGGAGGACATCACGATGGCAATGCTCACAAAGGTCAGATCACTCGAGGTATTCAAAGGCCAAAGTTTGCCTAGTTTTTCACTAATCGGCGCGTAATTCGGGAACTAATAGAGCGCCGCGGAAAAATGCATTGCGCAGCTCTTTTAACCCTCGCCCTGGCAGGGCATTTTTCATAACACGGACTGGCAGGGGGGGGGGGGGGTCGATGCGACCCCCCCTCGCGATTGGCTCCTATGGCACCTAGAAACACCAAATTTGGTAGGTAGGTGGGCCCCCTAGAGTTCTCGCCCCTGTGCAAATTTGGTTGCTCTAGGTCAATATTTAGGACGGTTTTGGGGGTATTAATGTAAAAATTTCGCTAAAAACAGGTCAAAGGTTTTTCGCTTATAACTTTTGATCTAAGTAAGATAGAGCAAAAAGAAAAGCACCAGTGAACTCAGTACGTCAAGGCGCGTCGAATGATATATTTTTTAGCTTGCTTAAGTGTACTGAAAGTTTTTCTTAATTTTTAAGTAAACTTTAATTAACTAATTAAGTTCAACATAACCAAATTGCATCATATCGCATATCATTCGATTCGGCTGATCACCAGGAACACAATGACACCATTTTTTTTTTAGCTCTAGCGTCATTATGTCCCAAGTTATTGGCAAAAACATCATTTGACCTCAGTTGACCTCATGACCTGACCCATGGATAAGTACACCAAACAAAGAAGCACAAAGTGAGCTGTTGTTAAGTACTGTGGTTTCAAAGCAAAAAAGTGATGGAACGAAGCGGATATCTCCAGTATTTTCCGAATTTAGTATTTTCCCATAGGCTTAACATTACGACGTAATGACCTCTAACTGACCTCAGGTCAGTGACCTCAAAAACCCGAACTATATGCTATACAACTCGGTGAACTTAGCACATCCTGAAAGAATGAAGGAAATCAGTCCAAAACTGTGAGTTGGACAGGTGTAAAAAGAAAATTGAAATTTGACCATGACCTTGTACCGGTTTTTGATTTTTCTGACCTGGTGACCTGACCCAAGGTCACCCGGACCTAAAATTTTCAGGTCATATATAAAAAGGTTGCCCCATAGGCTGTGCCAAATTTGCGCCGCCATTTTTACGCTATCTTCGAAAAACTTAGGGGGGGGGGTCGCATCGACCCCCCCCCCCCCCTGCCAGGGCGAGGGTTAACCCTCGCATGTGTGCGGCGTTTGCCAGCTTCTAACGTGTAGGGGGGGGGGGGGGGTTGGACCCCCTTGCCGTTTGGCCCCTGATCGAGCTAGAGCTTCGCGGAAAAAAACGAGCGTGTTGCCCGTCACGAGACGAAGCTGATGATGCCCAATTTTAAGGTCCTAGTTCATCGGTTGACCTTCCAGGTCAGGTCAATGACCCAAGAATCGGGAAAATCGGGACCTGTTAGAAAGTCGTAAAGTGTGGCTGCTATGGGTTTTTCGGGGTGCTGATCACGAACATCGTGTTAGTTTTGATCGCAGATGATGTCTTAAAGCATTTAGACCAGGTCGGGTCAGGTCAGGTCAGGTCAACCAGTAGGGGTCGTGGTATTCGTAGTAGGTGTCAACCGCCTCCGACAGCTTCGTAACATGTTACGAAGGCACCAAAACTACTTCGTAAATGTTCAAATGGTTTCTAAATTCGAATTCAGCTCCAAAAACTAGCCTAGAAACATTTTGAACTCGAAAAAGTGAACTGAGGTCACCAAAGGTCAATGACCTGACCTGACCTTCAGGTGACCTTGACATCCACCCTAAATGCATGGGAGCAACATCGAATCACATGTTTGAACGTTTGAAACCTCGAAAAGCTTGCAAACGCGCGGCTAATGCGAACCGACTTACGCCGAATCGCGATTCCGGCCAAACATCTCGAGAAATAGGTCACAGGTCAAAGGTCACTTGGGTCAGGGTCATGAAATTTTCAGAGTAGGTGTAAAATTGATCAACTCGAGGGTACTGAAAGTTTTGAAAGCTATCGTCGGACCCTGGCACCCGTAGGGTCCACCTCTAGGTAAGTTACCGGAAAGTTACCGGCCGATTTTCAAAATTTTAGCGGCGTTCGATAGCCCCACCGAGGAACTACCTTGTGACCCAAGTTCATTGTCCTTGGCCCAACCGATGACGTTACAGGTGAGGTCAAATATCGCATATTCGCCGTTAACAGGCATTCCAAGAAATGTGTTGCAACATCGAGTAAAGGCATGTTATTGAAAATCATCGAAGGAGAATAGGTTGTCAAACAAATATTTTGCTATTTGAGGTCACTGATACCAGGTCAGGTCACAGAGGTCGGGTCACTGAGGGTCACCATATGAAAATGTCGTGTGATCCATGTTTTATGGTCCATTTTACCAGACAAATGCTTTCATGTGGGTTAGACAGCCTTTGGGGCCAGTTAACCCGCGCCCTGCTGGGGGTCCTGGATTTCCACGCCCTGCTGGGGGGGGGGGGGGGTGTTTGAACACCCCCCTTGTAACTCGGCTCCTGGGCCACGTAGCGATACGCGGAAGGCGGCGTTCGAAAGAGCGTCAAAAATAATGACGAAAACACTTCGGTCAATTTTTTGGTCAGGTCAAAGGTCAGGTCACCAGAGGTCATTGAAGGCAAAATTTCGCCGATTTCCAGGTCGAATGTCGAAAATTTCCAAGAAGCCAACGCATAACTCGGGAACCAATAGAGCTACAGCGCCGCGGAAAAGCGCATTCGATAGCCCTATTAACGCCCTTTCTGAGTAATTCTCTCAGATTTGACCTAACGGCAACGGTTTTGCCTGCAGGGGGCAAAAACTGCAAAAATAGCCGATTTTTTCGAAAACAGTTTTTCTGCAATAACTTTTGACCCAAGCCTTGTACGAGCTTACTTTTACCGGCATCGTGTTCCTCTCGTCAAGACGCATCGAATGAATTATAAGTTGACCTTGAAAGGTCAACTTGAAAATTTGACCTCAGGTCAAGGTCATGACCTGACCGGAAATGGTCATGTTGCATATCAGTCGATCCGTATCGTCGAGCTGAACACATCTAAGGCGTTTTCATCGCTCTAGCATGCCTCTATCAAAAGTTATTTGCGAAAAACTGTTAGACACCATTCGTGACCTAAGATGACCTCAGGGCATAAACAAGGGTCAAGGACACCATTTTCAAGTTCAGTGTGTCTAAACCACTTGTAATTCGGTGTTTGGGAGTGTTTATAATGTCTTTCATCCAAAAGAGGCGCATTTCAATTTTCTCCCATTGACTTATAATGGGGAGGTCGCAAAATTGACCTGACCTTAGGTCATCGATATCAAAATTCTGAGATATACATTTTGTACATGCTATTGCTCTTAGCAATCGCTGAAAGTTTCAAAGCGATCGGTCACTCGGTGTAGCTATGACAGACATTGAAAGTTTTTATGAGGTGAGGTCACTTCAAGTGACCTGGTGACCTGACCTTGAATGACCTTGGTCTGAAATTTTCACAACATGTGTAGAATTGATGTATGATAAGGTGTACCAAAAACGGCGGCGCTCCGCGCCGCCGTTTTTGAGATATTCGCGAAAAACCACAAGGGGGGTGTTCAAACACCCCCCCCCCCAGCAGGGCGCGGGTTAAGGTTACGTTCTGGTGAAGGTCAAGTCAAGGTCAGGTCAAATCAGGTCAAATTTCAAAGTTAGTAGTTTGCATAAAATGGATATCGATTCGATGCAGCTCGTCACGGCGACTCTAATGGTTGTCTTTATTTTGTGCTACGTGGTCCATAATTACTAAAAATTGAGTTTAAAAATTTAATGTCATCAATTTTGAAGTTTTTTCCCTATCACTTGGCCAAAAAAGAGGTATCGATCTCAAATTTTGTATGCTGATGGAAGACGGCTATTATATAGATTCCTTTTTTCGAAATTCGAATAAATTTGGGATTTTTTGGCTATTATATAAAAATAACTTTTATCTTTGGGGGTCAAAATAAAAAAATAAAAAAATCCGAAATTGCAGTTCTATAGCCCAGGTAATTCTACACCGTTTAGGTCAAGAACAATTTTCTGCATCCTCAAAGCTGTAGGCCTCTTCTCGCGAAACCTTTCTTGGGGTCGAAAATGGCAAATATGACGTCATTCTGACGTCATTGGTGACCAAACTATCATAATCTTTGGAAAATTTTGTGGTCACAAATACAATGTGTAAAATTGATGCCCGGAAAGTTTCGATAGTTTGGTGGCGATACCTGCAATATTTTAGGAGATACCAACGAAAAAAGATAGGGAGGCGTTTCACCCCCGCCCTACGGGGCGCGGGTTAACAATTGCAGTGCACTGTGCAATATTATGTCATTCAATTCACTTCCAGCCCGTCCAGGACATATAAATATCGGAAATATCGCTCGACATAACACTAGCAACGGATAATAGACAATCATCTGTAACACTAAATCAGTGCACTGAAGTCCACTGATCCAATAGCGGCGGAACAACTTCACTGCCGACTTTTGGTCCCATTCTTTCCATGCAACGCCCATAGGGCCAATGTTAAAATACAAAAATCAAAGGGGGGCACGGTGTCCCGGTGCCCTCCTCGTTCCGCCGCCTATGCACTGATCATCAAACCGCACTGCACGCGAAACTTTTGTTTCTCGTCAGACGACTCGGCGAGCAAACTACGTTACTTCCTCCCACACGTGATCGCACACTACATTACATACAGGGAGTGAGCAGGCTCCTCGGGCCCCAAGAAGCCCGATCAAGTCTTCTTGAGACCCGCGAAACCCCTGGTTTCGCGGGTCTCAACTGGTTGCGACGCCAGTCACCTCACTCGGGTACGGTGCATTCCAGACACAACTTTTCAACCAGCCAAGTCCACACTCCGCACCTTAGTCCCAATCGTCCAAGGACTGCCCAAAATGACAAAAGTCAGTCTAGGTGGCCTCGGATGAACATTACGCGCCCATTTTTGACTTG